CCTGAGACAACGTATGTTGTGACTTGGTGCTATATGAATAAAATGAATTGAATTGAATTGAATCCAAACAATCAATGATTTATAAAGGTAAATCGGGGAAATTAACAAGGCTGCCCAAACCTCCGCACCCCACTGTACGATCCATTCTAGATGGTAAAAAAACCTTTTTTTCCTTCATAAAAATTAAATTTTCAGAATTCCAACAAGTTCTTTTGGTTTTACCTGGTTCTGAGACTGATTTGCCAGGGCCATGAGTGGGCTTTGGACACGCAACCCCCAACAACTCGACCAAAACAACGCTTCGGTTTGACAGCTGATGTCCCACAGTTCATTGTGGTCGCTAAAAGAAAAGAAAAAAGGTCGAAGTCATGAAGCTTCATGCTGAAAGTGAGGAAAAAATACAAGATTTTGTCTTCAAAGGAAAATATTTTCTTATTTTTGCCTATGAGGTAAAAAAGCCCACTGATTAGTACAGTTATCAGTGCTACTGTATTATGAACACCTTGTTTTGAACTCGTAATCTGAAATGTTGGACAATTTTATTTATTTTTGAAGGACCAGAAACAAAAACAGTTATTTTGAAGAGGTGCCCAAAACACGCAGGGTTTAGTGATACCATAATTATGACCCCTGCACTTGAAGCGGGGGTCATTTTATTTTGTACTGTTTATTGTGACCCCCCACACGTGAAGCGGGAGTCATATTGTTTTCATAATGGTTTTTTTTCCAGTGATTTTTGGTCAACCGTAGCACAAAAACGGCTGCACCAGTCAACATGAAATTAGTCAGGACTGTAGATGAGTCTGACCTACACTGCACCAGCCATCGGTTTTATGATAGACCCCATATTTGAGGAGGGGGCTCCATCCAAAGAGGGGGTATCTGCACATGCAAAAATGCTTATAACTCAGAAACTGTTCAACATAGAAGCTTCAGATTTCTTTTGTTGTTTAGCTCTGATGAAGCTCTATCCATCAGGCCCACCAATCAGTGCCCTGCCCCACCCCGGACCCCCAATTTATCTGAAAAAGGGGTATCTGGACATTCAAAAATGGTTATTGCTCAAAAAATATAAAACATAGGAGCTTCAGATTTCTTTTTCTTGTTGTTGTTTAGCTCTGATGAAGGGCCACAACCGGACCCCCACCCAAAACAATAAATCTGTTTTGCTGAGTTCTCGTGCATTGGTTCTTTGTGTACGTGCGGGAGTCATGTATGCTACCACTATGTGGTATCTAGCTAATTCTAATCTTCATGTATAAACATTGTGTACGTACTGCAGTCGGGGATGAGGCAGTAGTCCCATTTCTTGGAGCTGTCAGTGGTGTAGCACCACGGTCCATTCGCATCACTGTCTGGATTCCTGCAGCTCTGGTTGGGATTTAAACGTAAAACGATCAAAGAAGACAAGAAAAGCTAAATGTTTGTCTTTTCTTTTTACCTCAGTTTATTTATGACCTACACACTTACGTTGCCCTCCAGACCTTTATCTGGGTGAGTCTGTGGTGTGAAGGAGGTGTGTTCGTGTGGGCTTTGAGCGCTCCACGCCTGACACGTCACACCCAGTCTGGTCATGGATGTTGGACCTCGGTAAGTGTCTCCATTTCCAACCTTGCAGTCTGAAACAGCAGGTTAATGTAACAGCAAGGTAGGTCAAATAAAAATGACTTTTTTTTTCATACCTTTTTCTTCCGGGGTCGAGGTGGGCTGAGGACCAGGAGCGCTCGTGGCTGGTGAATTCGGGGGCTTTGTGGAGCATTTTTCCAGCCTGCAGTATTCCCAACGGACTGTGGAATCCATAGTGTAACACCAGGGGGCCTGGTCTCCATCAGGATTCCTGCACAGGTTCCTCCTGAGGTCCCTGTTTAAAAAAAATAGAAAAATAACTAGACATGGGTTTTTACGATGTAAAAACAAGTGTGCATTGCCATATAGCATGTCATTGCAGCATGGCTTTACCTGCAGCATTGGACTTGCAGAATGAACTTTGACCAAGTTCAAATGTGTTTGCTATACCAGCTTGTGCCTGTCACATCAGCAGTTGTTTAGAATTAAGGTAATTGTGTGACAATATGAAGTTTTAAGAGATTTTTTCTTAAAGTTGCATTAGCCAGGTTTTGAACCCTGATCTCCCACATGAAAATCCATGACATAGACCATTAGACCAACGGAATTGTGGCAGAAGTTGGTGGCAGGGGTTGGTTTGTATGTGTGCAGAAAGAGGCCATATTGTCAATACAATTGACACTAAAC